GATCACTGGCTGTTTTTAGGGGCTTGTTCAGATGTAATAGAACAAGATAAAAAGCATTAAAACATTTTAACAGCACAACAGGCTTAATAAACACAGAGTAGTTTGGGCCCGGAAGCAGGATTCATACATCATCACTTAAAGAACAGCTCCCGGGGCACAGCTAGCTCAGTAGATGCCACATGATCGAAAGGTTGGGCGTTCAAATCCAACGAACAGAGGGTATCCTGGATTGGTAGCTGCCCACTGCATCACTCAGTGAATGGGTCAAATGCAGAGGACTAAGCATTTTCCTACAGGATTAATAATGTATACATAAACAATGCACGGCATCTGTAATCATGACTTGCCGGCAAAAAAAGGTTGGCTGTTTGTCTGTGTTGTTGTTGTTCATGGGAGTCGGGCTGTGAGCTGGAAAGCTACAGCCAACTCAGTGTATTTGTGGCAGCAACCGGAGTACTGTATTTTTCAGACTATAAGGTGTACTTAAAACCCTTTAATTTTCTCAAAACTCGACAGTGTGCCTTATAATCCGGTGCGCTTTATGTATGAATTCTGGTTGTGCTTAAGCCGCACCGCTTGATGGATTGTTGGAACATTACGGCTAACAATCGGGAGCCTAGCGGCGTGCTATGTACTGTGCTTCAACAATTATTACTGTATTGTGTGTGTATAAGGACCCCAAATGGCACCTGTTAAGAGACATGCTTACGAAGTGGATTTCAAACTCAAGGCTATCAGTCACGCAGTAGAACATGGGAAGAGAGCAACTGTGAGAGATCAACATTTATGAATCAATGGTGTGTTGAAATGTTTCGTCGTTCAGACAAAATTTACCAGTCAGACTATAATTTACCAGTCAAGATGTGTTTATTTTCCTCTCACACACTAAGTAAACAACCTAACCCTAGTTGAAGAAACCTAGGGTTAGGTTGAGCAGAGAAAAACTCCTCAGTAGTCCTGCTTCTCATGTAATGGTCTCCCCACTGTTGAGAGCGTGGTGAATACGGTACTGCCTATATCTATTAGGGTACCTAACTGAAGGTAAGTGTAATGTTTCACTGAAAAATAAAATTTTGTGCATTTGGCTTTGTAAAGATGGTAAATACCGTAACCTGAATATTAGCATAAAAAACAACTGTTGTTCACTGACATCTGAGCGGAGTCCAACAACAATAAACTCATTATAAATAACTTGGTTTTTGTTTTTTTCAAACAGGATCTTTCTACTTCCTCTAATGGAGCACTTAGCAGTGTTTGTTCTCCAGACTGGTTTCTCGTGCTGCCATGGTTAATGAATATGTGAAAATCTAAGAGCTTTCCAACCCACATCCTGTCCAACATTAATAAGGAAATGTACAGTTGTCTAGATATTTTTCAAAGATCTCTAAATAACAGTAACTTTAGGACAAGTTGTGCAATCTGACACATTTTTTTTACATTATTATTTAAACAAATACACCTGAACATGAATTGCTTTTTATTTAATGTCTTTATTGTCTGGATATATCACAAATGCTCCAAAAGAGTGTTTGGATTACTGTAGAGTCCTCTAGTTTCATAGACAAGACCAGAACAATAAAGATTTCTTTTTTTCTGTAGTAGAATAAGAAAAAACCCAAGTAAATCTGTAACAACATCTGCTCAAAAAGACAATTTAGTCACTGTATCTTGAAGTTTATTGGGGTTTTTTTTTTATTTTGTTTTATTAAAAGCTAGTGTTAATGCACTTCAGCTGTTTGGATTTAAATGAAACTGATGTCAGTCTGATTCATTCACTTTTAATGATTAACCCTACTGTCAAAAACAAAAGCATCTGAAACCTGTCAGAGTAGAGTGCGGACACTTTGGCAGAAAACAATTTCAAAAAATTTATCCAAAGTAGCAAGAAAATAAACTATTCAACCTGACTGATGCTAGGATGATAGAGGCTTGGGCTGTATATCAAGAGTTTGGTTAATAACATGAAGTCATTATTAGTTGCTGTTATATCAGCTGTTATGCTGATGCATAGTGTGCTGATCCCACTGTGTTAGGATCGATATGCGGGTAGAAACACAATTGGTCTTTACATTTGCTCTGAAGAGGGCAGGACAGTGACATCAATAGAGTAGGAAGAATCTCTGAACAGCGCAGAGAGGGTGAAGATGCTCTCTGATCACTCGAGGCTACAATGATTGCAGGTTTCTTCTTGCTGCTGCTACTTGTGGGTAAGCTGAGATCATTCGAATTTAATGCAGATGACAATTTGGACCATTTTAAATAAAATGTTGTATTATATTTTATTCAGCAACACTGTTTTTACTTGGAATAGATAAAACGTATTTCAGCAGAGGGGCTGCTTGGCTCTATAAGTAGCCAGTAAATACATCCTGTTTACTAAATTAAATTCCACATGTAATCAGTTTACTAAAACCAGCATCTTAGACTGAAAAATGAATAAATATTGGTGAATAAGTTGCCCGATAGATATTTTCTGTAAAATTTCGCCTGCAACTCAATACAGGGATAATGAAAATGGTCTATTGGACAACACAAAGCACATAAATACCAACATTTTCAATAGCTCACCTTATGATATGTGGAGATTAGCAGTAGGAGTGTGAATGTTGTCTTTTTCCCTGTGTGCATAGACTACTGCAGTCTGGCGACTTGTGTATGATGCACACTGACTCTGGCACTATGTCAGCTGGTGTAGCCTCCAGCCCCACCAACATCCTAAACTGGATGTGTAAGAAAATAGATGAATGTTTAATTTGGTATGAAATCTTACATCAGTTGGAGTAAACCAGCTTAAGGAGTAGTTTCACTATAAATTTTAGGGACGTTTTTTTTAAAGAAACTGAAAATGCAACCGAAAAGAAAAGAAAAAGTCCTGCTGGAGCACAGCTTGCACTGAGATGAAAACAAACAAATATTCTGTTTATTCACATTAGTGGAACAATAGGAACAGAATCCAGGGCAATAAAATTGGACCTTGGAAATTTGGTTAGTAGCTGGGAGCCAGAGGTTATGGCTGGTCCAAGCACAGGGAGGAATAGTTGTTCCTGTAGCTGCTGTAAGGTCCTATGTTGTGATCTTCACTGTGACAGCAAAGCATTTTATGCCTCAGGAAGCAAACCATCTCAAATGTTTTGAGACAAATATTGTCCTGTTTTTTGTCTAATATGGGATTCTAGCTGATAAACAGTCTTGGCTTTGCTATGTTGTATTTTATGTTCCATGGTGCACCAAATATTTTCATTCGGTGAAAAGTGTGGTCTGCATGGTTGCCAGTTCACCACCTGGATTCGTCTATCATTCTATTATGAATGATGTTATAGATGCAATATGTAAACTTTTGAATATGTGATTGTGCTGCTGAAATATGTAAGGCTTTTCCTTGTAAAGCCATCATCTGGGAGCAAATGTTTATTTAAAAACTGTACATACATTTCTGGATATTTTATACCTTTAGGCATAAATTACTGTACTCTTCCATGCCAGGTGAAAATGGCTCCAGTTCAGAGCTACAAGATGATCAACAGATGATCAATGAAACCACTATCAGAGGTAAAGAGTAAAGACAGTCTATCTATATATCTGTCGGTCTGTCTCTGTGCAAACGTCTGAACCACCCCTTAGTTTGACTGCTTTTTCACTCATTTTCAGTCCAGTCTTTGGACCTAACTATTTTATGAGAAACGTTCTCTTGTTTCTGTGAGCCCACTTACTACTCATCTATGACAAGGCCAATAAAGAGGCAACTTGCGTCTCACAAAAACACAGGATAACACAGTTGAGGACATCAAAAAAAAAAAAATGTTTTCACCAAACAAACGAATTCTTAAAGAGCTATTAGGCAAAGACATATGTCAGCATGGTGTGCAGTGTGTACTTAAAATCTGAAAAATTTGAAAATGAAACTGATCCTTCAGTCCAGTCTGCCATTTTGCCAAAGCCCATCAGAATGGTTTTAGTGGAAGATTGGCTTTGTTATGGTTTATGGCTGTATTTCAGTGAATGGTGTTAGGGATCTTGTCAAAACTGATAGAAGTATGAAGAGTACTGTTAGTCCTGATCAATGCAATGCAATCTGAATAGGCAACAGCTTCATTTTTCAACATGGCAATGATGCCGAATATCCTGCCAGTGCTGAAAAAGCACAACTGGATATTAAAAAACAAAACAAAAAGGGATACTATCAGTCATGGATTTTTGCCTTTCATGAGCCCAAATCACCAATTTATTGAGATAGTATGGGATCATCTTGAAAGAGAATGGACTGAAAGGCAGCAAACCTTCAGAATGCTTTGAATGTCCCCCAAGATGCCCTGATAACTATTTCTGAAGACTACTTGAGGAAATTGCATTAACACTTGCCTAAGAGAGTCCAGATTGTGTTGAAGAATAAAGGTGGTCATACCAAATATTGACTTTCAAGCTTCTTAGAATTGGTTTTGTCTCATATACTGTAATCTCACACATGTTTGTAGTTGTTTCAATAGTATCTCCACCCATTACCCACTTTTTTTTAGCAAAATATAAAGAAAAGATGGTGACTCAAGACTTTTGCACAGTACTAAGCATGTCAATAAGTGATGTAGTATTCACTCAGGATCTAATAATCAGCAATACTAAAATATAAAATAATTTTATGTAATGGAGAAAATAATGAAAATCAATGTCTGTAAATATCAATCTATTTAAATTATTTTTATTAAAGGATTGATTAAATAAAACTTAATCATGACCTTTTAGTGAACAAAAGGCCTCTGGATATATCAGGGTTTGATTAAAATGTTCTGAGGTATTACTTCATCTGTTGCAAATACGCCAAAAGCTAATAAGCAATAATGATGTCTGGCGAGCAACAGACTTCTGAAGTTTGTTTTTTTTGTTGTTGTTGAAAATCAGAAATGGGAGTTTCTTTGTGTTTTTCATCTCATAAAAGAAATCGCTGATATAGAATGTGTTTTGATGTCATTTCAGATAATGAAGTGGAGAAACTCTGTAATTTTCAGGCGATTGTACGCCGCCTGAACCTGCGCAAAGACAGTCTTAAGTACACTATGAGCCGGCCCATTATAAACAACAGCCATCATACAGATGTGTTGCTTGAAATGAAACTCTATGCCATCCTGGACATGGTACATTGTTTAAGCTACGTGCATGTGTGTGTTTTTCTCTGAATGATAATGAATATTTTCATTGCCAAATAGTTTGTGTGTGTTTCTTAATGGCAAAAAACCCATCTGCCAAAGAGGAAATAATCATTTAAACTATCATGTAGTCCTGCTGGAGCCTATCCCAGATACCATAGGCATTAGCAGGGTACAGCCTGGACAGGTTACCAATCTGACAACCATTCCCACTCAAATCTATGGGCAATTTAGAATCGCTAATTAACTGAACTAACTAAACAAGAAGCTGGAGTCGGGTTGAAAAGCAGCTTGCAGATAAGCAGCAACAGTGTACAGGTTAAAGAAAATTGTATAGCTTACCCAATATGAGATTCAATTTAATTCACAACAGTTGCCTCAAGGCGGTTTGTATTTTAAGGTAGACCCTACATTAATAATTCACAGAGATGTATTTGCTGATGCTTTAGCTGAATTGTGAAACTACCTAAATGAACATTGTTATTTTTTTCAGAGAGAAATTGACCAGACCTTAATTTCTTACATTTGGGTTTATTTGGTGAGTTTTCTCTTAGAAATACAATTTTTTTTCATTGTATTGTTGAAATTTAAATTGCTTGAAATTACATCTTTTGATTTGTTTTTCTTGATTTGATCACTTTCCTCCCATTGCCCTGTGTAGGAATGGACAAATGAGTACATTAAGTGGGACCCAAATCAATTCTGTGGAATTAAGGATATGACAATTCCTACTGCATATTTGTGGATGCCCGATATAACTATTGTAGAGATGTAAGTTTGACATATATATAAGCATAAACTCACACTCAAAGACCCACTCAGTCTCTCCACTTGATTATGTTGAGGTGGGTTGTAATTAAGATGTGGCTGTTCAGTGCATCATGTGATTTGATTCTTGCAGGAAGCCAAAAGTCAAAAGTAGCATTTTTAGTGCTTACAGTTTGTCAATGCTCATAACACGGGAGGAGTGACCAAAAGAGAAGAAAAGAACTAAATGTCATGTATTTGTTTTGTCTTTTTCTGATGCTGCCATTGGTAACATAATCAATTCTTATTTCTTCTCACACAGGACAGAGAAGGATAAAGCGTCTCTGAGTCCTTATCTCTGTGTCAACCACAATGGTGTGATCGAATACAGGAATGACCAGGTGGTGGTGAGCACCTGCAAGCTGCACGTGTACAAATTCCCCTTTGACTTTCAGAAGTGCAACATATCCTTCAAGTCTATTATGTACTCTGGTGAGGACATAACAGGTTCTGTTAATGTATGCTGTTCATAAACACACACTACCACATGCCAGAACATATATTCTTTCCTTCTTGATCTTCTCACAGTAATTTTTTTATGTTCGACTTCAGATGCAGAAATGAAGTTACAGCCCGACAACAGCAATAAAACAGTCACAGAGTGGTCTCGTGACTTTATGCAGACACAGTATGAGTGGCTCTTTGTCAACATGTCAGTCACCAACAGAACTGTCAATGAGTTTGGCTTCAATCAGCTTATGGTTGTCTACACTGTAAGTATTTTTGGTAACAGAAACACAGAACACATGAAAGCTGTTCTGTTACCCATTACCCTGGTTTTTGTTTAGAATAGGATGACTCTGGATATCAAGAAGAGAAAGCAAATGAAGACAGAGGCAAGGATTAAATGGTAGAAGTTGAAGAAAGAAGAATGTTGCATAGAGTTCAGGGAGGAGTGGAGACAGTGGGAGAGAAGAGAGTTGTAAAATGAGTGAGAAAGTGCAGCTGAAGCGGTGAAAAAAATATGAAGCTCTTTCTGCATCTTTACATGTATGAAGTAGGATGATTAACCACCTTATTTCACAGATTACCATGAAGAGGAGGTCTGTCCTCTACATTGCTAATTTCTTGCTGCCAGTCTTCTTCTTCTTGGTTCTGGATATGGCCTCCTTCCTTGTATCAGACAGTGGAGGTGAGAAACTTGGCTTCAAAATCACTGTGCTGCTTGCTGTCACGGTGATGCAGCTTCTTCTCAATGAGATCTTGCCCAGCTCTTCAAACAGAATTCCACTTATAGGTAAAGAAGTGTGGTGTATTTGACTGCATTTAATGAATAAATCATGCTACTGAGTGATCAAGTAATTTATCCACATTAATGCTGGCTGATTTCCTCAGCTGTCTACTGCATTGGGGGGTTTTCTCTGATGCTGCTCAGCCTCTTGGAGACAATTTTGGTGATGCATCTGCTTGACAAAGACTCTGCAGCCCAAGATAATGAGACAGATGGAATCCAAGGTGTGCTTGATAATAGCAATCACTCTACAAATATTTGGATTTAAACTCTATCGACCACTTTTGCAGATTTGTGTTTAGTGGCAGGTTGTATCCACCAGTTAATTTTAATTGTGTTTGATTTATCTTTGTTTCTCTTACTCCAGACATAAAGAGAAATAGTCATTGTGCCTCTGTCTCTGGGGTATCTGCTGAGGAAACACCATCTGTGTCTTTGTCTGTATCATCTCTGACCCAAAAGGTTGGAATTCATTTTATTTAATTTCAAAAAAGTATAATACCAAAACTATTGAAAGGGATTATGCTAGCATTATCCTTAACCCTAGCATATATATCAGAAGCAAACACTTATATTTAATCAACGTGGAAACAAACCAGTGTGTTGAATCAAGAGTTGACCTAAAATCTTGTCAATTACCTTTCTACAAAACCTCCTTTTTTAGGGTAGCAGCAGTAAACTGACAGAGGTGGCCTTTGCTCTGGAAAAAGTGTCAGATGAGCTGCGGGAGACTGGGAAAACAGTGACTCTACTCAGCAGCAACAGGAAGTCTGGCTACTGGACAAGAATGGTTAAAAAAATCAACAAGTATTTTGTGATTTTTTATTTGACAGCAGTCACTGTGTTCTTAGCAATCATGTTTTCAATGTGGATCGATGTTGAAGACTAGCAGGACTAAAGTTTGAAAAACAATATTCAATCATTAACATGAATATGATGTATTAGTCTCTCTTTTATACCTGTAGTTTCCATTGGTTACTTGTGGACTTCCTGCTTTGCTAAAAGGTAAAATTTTAGTTATAAAGACCATCACTAAAGTCTCCATTGCATGAATTCCAATATATTTGCATTTTATTGGGTGATGAACATAAGTCCACGTTGAACTGACATTAATTCATTGCTTTTATTAGTAAAAAAAAAAGAAAAAAGAAAAAATGAGAGCCTACGGACAAGCATAATATCATATTTGCATTTTTAAACATGCTTTTTTCACTTTAATGTGCTGTCCCAAAGTACTTCTGTTTTTTTTCTCCCAGATAACTGCAATTCACAGGGTATTTTGTCTTTTTTGAACCATTCTCTCTGAACCAAACAGATGGCTGTGTGGGAAAATCCCAGTGGATTGGCAAATTCTAAAATATGTATCCATGTGAAAATATATTGTAGAAGAAAATTTAATTTAAGGGATTATTAATTTTTTCAGTCACAATTGTTAAAATTATACAACCATATGTAATTGACATAATTATACATTTCAGTCCTAACAGAGTTGTAGTTTGTCTATAGTAATTATAGGCATTTTCACACTGGCTTTTGTTGTTGTTGTTTGTAAAAAAAAATTGATCACGTAAACAATATACAAAGTTCATTTGGCAAAGAAAAGAAGAAAAAATGCTACACAAAATAAAGCTAATACATTTCAATATTGCTTTAACTGTTCTGATTCAGTTACATATCGAAAAGGAGTGAGAAGAAGTACACAGTTATTTAATCCCACAGCTTTGCCATTTAGTTAGCCTTCTTACTGGTTGTCTTCAAATCACAAATACTACTACTAATAATAGTAATAATATGCTTTTATTCCATTTGTTTCTTTCCCGCTTATCCTATTAAGGTTGCTGGAGCCAAACCTATATCCCTGCTTAGTGATCGAAAAGAAAGTATTTTTACTATCAAATTCCGGTCCATAAGTCTTCATTAATAGGGGGTTTTGACCAACAAAGATCATGCAAAAACTGACAACGAATAAAGGTCTGTTGTTTGATTTAATTGACTGGCTTCGAGTTATCTGGCTAACCTCCACACCGTATGCCCGCTGGACCTGCAAGCCGCTCCTTCCTCGCCAGACTGCTGTTACACTGCGCCTTCTTCACTGTTTTGTTCATGTGAACTGACCATGTGAGATCCTCCGCCAGATGTACACCTAGGAAATGGAAGTTGCTCACTCTCTCCACAGCAACGCCATTGATGGTGATGGGGGTGTGTGCTTTTATACATCTCCAGAAGTCCACTATCAACTCCTTTGTCTTTGTGACGTTGAGGGTAAGATGGTTCCTTCGGCACCAAAGTGTCAGGGTGCTCTCTTCCTTCCTGTAAGCCAGGGGTGTCCAAACTCCGATCCATTTTTAATTGGCCCGCAAGTAATTTTATAAATAGAATAGAATATGGCCCACAACTTCAACTTTTGCTTGAGTGTATTGCACTTCTTAGTTTTAACACCAGGGGGAGCTACTGTTGATCAAGGCAGTTGCTCCACCAAAAAGGACAATCACAGAAGAAATTTACCCCAAGTTAGTTACTAAACATGGCAGAACCAAAGAAGCGAAAGGTAGAAAGTGAATGCAGAACATTTCAGACACGGTGGGAGAGTGAATATTTCTTCAAAGAATTCAAGGGGAAATGTGTCTGTTTGATCTGCACTGAAATTATGGCAGTTATGAAAGAGTATAATGTACGACGTTATTATGAAACCAAACATCAGGCCTATGCATCCTACACTGGTGCTGAGCGAGAGCAGAAATTAAAGCACAGGGTAGCTCTCCTGCGGGGTCAGCAACAGTATTTTTTTCGTGCTCAAAAGGTCCAGGAAAAGGCTACAATAGCCAGCTATGAGGTC